CGAAGAAATACTAGTAAAACCCCGTAAAATGGACTACGCAGACGTAAACCATCGTCGTACAATTTGGATTGTTCACGGATTTCCCTAAATAAAACTGATTAGAAATTGCGATGATTTTTAAACAAATTGAATATAGACCACTCTATGTACATACCGATCGGATTAAAATACAGATCTATATTTCGTTCCGTTTTTTTGTACTTTCGATGGTCTACACTACATGAAGGTCGCATCAGGGGTCGTACGAGCGTCAGACATTGATTAATTAATTGGTTAATCAATCACGTTCACGTTTCTAGTGGATTACCCACAGTTCCGTGCATCGCACGCCAAGGACTCACCGTAACAGACCGTTTCATTGGCTAATCCCTCACTTCAATCAGAGCACCGGTAACATAACAACTCTTCCAGATCCTAGTTTAGTAAAGACAAGTAAAACGAAATTTGGAACTATAAAAAACGAAACGAAATCGGATCTGTGTTTAAATCAGATTGTGTACATACATATTACCTTAATGTGTACTTTTAGATCACATTCGTCTATTTTAAGGTTCCAAAGTATGAGGCATACACCCTTTAATTAAAATTTTTTGTTTGTATCTATATCGCTTTACTATATACTGTTCGTCATTTCTCTCTCTCTTACGAAATAATTCTATTATTTTTTGAATTATTTAATATATTTACATACAAATGCTTCACGCAGCTTTAGATACTATGTCCTCCTCCCCTTAGCAACACGTGATGTTTTATAAACACCAGTAAACCTAGACAATATGCATCCTTCACAGTTGCCTGTTTGAGGCTTAACACTGTAAAAAATATCTGTTTATTAAATCCCTACTTTTTTGTTAGTTGAAGGAAGTTGTTCGTATTATCACAGAAATATCTGTGATTTGAGATAAATAACTCGTATTTTTACCATAAAATCTGTTGTTTTAGTTGCATTTCTGTATTTCGACAGAAGCATCGGTATTTTTACATTCTTTTCCGTATATTAACTGATAGAAACTGTTTATTAACAATGTAAATTGTGTTATTAATCAAAAGACCAGTAATATTCCAGAATAACTTGTATGTTAACGGCACTGTTCTGTTAATTCACAAAGATGAATTGTTGGATTCAGTTAACGCATGTTCGAATGTGACGGTAAATCTTCATAATAATATGTATGTGTGAAGGCAAATCTACAGCATAGGTAGATACGGAGTATGTTATTGGATTTAAAGACACCGGTAGATTTAATGGAATTTTAAATGTTATAAACGTAAGAATAAATAATAATCCTAAAATTGAAACGGTAAAGCTATGTAAAAGAAAATAAATGATGTATCAGGTCTAGGCAGGAAGAAAGTTCGGAAATGGAGATTTTACGTGGTTGTTGCAAAACTCCATAAGAATTGTTCTTCTTCAGGCATAGATCGTAATAACATTTCGAAAAGTCTTAGGGTGATTGAAGACGTGTTTTTGTAAATGAATGTAATGTACTGTTACGTTCAAGTAATATGTATTTGTGTTTTGTAGAATTATGTATAAACCTGTAAATCGCGAGTAACGTTTAGGTTTAGGGTAAAGGAAAATGCCCAAGGTAAATTTAGAATTGAATGGCCTTTGTAAATTCGCGGGATAGCGTGTGGGTCGGTATAAGGTTCTAATGAAGATTTTCGTTTTGTTTTGTAAACCAAAAGTATAACGGAGAATAAGTTCCAAGTATGGGTTAAGAGTGGGAAAACATACCATAGTAGAATGGGTAATTTAACGTTGGATTCGAATGTGCGGTTACATGTCGAATAAATTTTGAATTCCCTGATATGTCATACTTAATGATAACGAAAACGTCAGGAACTTATTTATAAATTGTCATAAATGTTATGTGTGTTGAAAGTAGGGAATATAATAACTTAGGTTGTGTTATATTGGCTATTAGAGCCATGAGTAGAGTACACTTTGGTCTTGAGATAAATAATGATCACATTTATTCCAAGATGCTGTTTTGTTTGATTTTAGAGAAGAAATAAATTTAGAAATCAAAAACATTTAAGATGTTCACTTGGTGTATCTATATCGTATTTAGAAAAGGGGCGTATCTGTCAATTAGTGTTGATTTATGGAGCAGGTCGAAAGAGACGAGGGTGCTCTATAGTTCTATACATTGAAAGATACACCTTTCCATCCTATATACTCAATGTTAACTGTGTGTCTATAGCGCAGGTAGAATGTCTTAAGGCAAAACAGGTACAGGGGAATTCAAGTACCAAGTCTGCTTAGTGTAGACGATTTGCTAATGACTTATTAATAAGGTAGAACTGTTCACAGATAATAATAGTGGGTAAAGAAGGTCAGTAATGTAACGGGTTCAAAGTTATTAATGACTCTAGGTGAGACGTAATAATTAATACTATTAGTTTATATTAAAGTGACAGATTAGGTTGTGTAGCGCTAATAGTTATTTCACTCTAAAGTAAACAGAATTAACGATTAAGATATAATAGTATCCAATTAATATTAAAATAAATGTTATAAATATTAAAATTAAGGGTAATGTATTTGAATAATTAGTGGTCTAATTGAGTCAGTACACTGGTCGGTTACGGGAAGTAATGTACCTTATCTTACCGCACAGCAACATCCGGCATATAAGCAGATATGGTTCTAAAGAGGAAATGAAAGAAGTGTTAACGGCAAAATTTACAGAACAAAAATTCTGAACAGGATTTGAAATTATGTAGTGTTAGAAACAGTGAACTTATTGACATTGAAACAGTGTTTATTTTATTGTGTTGGAACGTATAACCGAGTATTTATATTGACAGTGAATCAGTCCCTCATAAACCTATCCGTTACTCGAAATTTTCCTCGGAACTGGGTGATCCAGACTGCACCTGCGGTGCGGCCTCGCTTCGTAGGCTCGATCATTTACCGACCAAATTTCGAGTAACGATAGGTTTATAAGGGACTTGGTGATACAGACTGCAACAAACAAATCTTATTTCCGGGCTGATGAAGACGAATATCGGCAAGTGACAGCGCTTCAAGTTTGATTTGTAATTAATAACGCTGTTAAATGGCCAATTTAATTACACCGGAAGCTGAATAATGATCAAATAAGGCCTCGTTGGCAATAAAAACGACGGGTAGTGTTAGAACTAGTGAGTGGCTGAAATACTTTCTTATATACTATAATATATAGTCAAGCAGTAGTAAGAAGTTTTATTTTAATCCCTTCAAGCGCCTGTGTGTCACAGGTATTTTTATTTGGTACATGGCACAGGATAGTGTTACACAACTACTATAATAGGTTGATGTTTGTACAAAGTTTCATGAAGATATTTTTAGCGGTGTATGCAATATGGTCCGGAAACAAAACCGTACACCAAAAACTATGTCAAATTTGTTTCCATGGAAAGACAAAAAGTATAAATCCAAGAATTTCTAAATAGCAAAAGGCACAACTGCTGTAATAGGTTGATGTGTATACAAAGTTTCATAAATATATCTTGAACGGTTTATGAGATATGCGTCGGAGACGAAATTGGGACGGACGGACCCCATTTCAATATCCCTCCCTAAGTTCGTTCTGCGCGGGATAATAATAAAACACATTGGGTAAAAAAAGAAAAGATATTTTATTACTTTTATTATACTTCTGTATGGAGATAAACAAAACAAAACGAAAAACGTCCCTTTAGGTGCGAATTCAAACATTTTAGAGAATTGTTTGCTCTCCATGACGTGTTAATTGTTGGGATAATTATTACTCTAGTCATCAGGGAATAGCAGGGATCAAAACGTATTCTTTATATATGTTCAAATACGTTGGAGCTTTAAAAGTACTAAATAAATTTTTAATGGTAAAATTAAGATGATTTAACCCAATAGTCCCTTCAGGCAAATGAGACAAACCACATAAATAAAACTGATAGAAAAGGTCAACATCATGTGATTTACACCTTGATGCTATATTATGGCGGATAACTGCGACGCTGATACCTCATACAAACAATTAACAATACACGTATTTGTTGACAATCGATGATTTTCTATATCACATTTTATTATACTAATAAAACATCAGCACTTTCTTTAGTGTACGAACAGTAACCTACAAACGCTAAAGAGCTTGTACAGGATACAGATCAGACTTTACAACTTAGAGCAATTGATCGTTATATACAAATTTAGAATCATACGATCGCTCACGTAGCTGATCCACCACCAAGCTCGCATTTTTGCTTTGATAGCCATTTTTCATACTCCAAGCACAGAGTGGGCGAATCCGCACCACGACTGCAAAAAGAGACCCGTTTGGCGTGCTGAAAATGATTGAAAAGGCTCTGTCGACTTTTGTGCACGTGGATGGTTCAGTTTCCTTGCACTACGTCAGGACCAGACCCGGTTAAGCCCGAAAATGTGACCACGACCGATAAATTTCATAATCACCTGTTCGGTAGTTTAACATAATTTCGTAATCAAGGGGAATCTCCGCCAGAAACTATTGACGATCAATACCAGGCTGAAAAACCTAATAAAAAGTAATAATGATTGTGACAAAGTGCTCAATAACTTTCATAAATTTGTCTATCGTATACATAAGAACTATTATTTAATAGTTTTGCTCAAAGTTATAGACCACGATAACTTATGCCTTTTCTCTGAAGTCCCGTGAGCAAGGAAGTGGCCCAAAGTGCCACACCGGTGTCAGAATGGCTGATTCGAGTAAAAATGTTAATAAAATATGAATGAAATTATTCTTAAGATTACTCCTAACTTTTATTATGGCCCGCGACTGTACATAATATTTGAGCCAATTGGTACAGTAGATTTTATATTCTCAGGTCTTTGACCATGGTCCAAATGTATTAAACACAGATATACATGCTATAACAAAAAATTCCAAATGTGCAAGTTTATTGATAAGTAATCTTCTGTCGATTTATATATATATATATATATAGTTTATCACATTTAATTGGACGGCAACGGTGTCTAAATTTTAAACTACAAAGTAGGAACATATCTTTAAAATGAGGTAAACAATCGCGCAATACGTTCACCCACATCGGTTTCCATACTAGTCAAAACAATAAACAAAACATTAGCACACAGTTTTAGATGTATGTCATTTGAGAGAAATATCTTGGCTCCTGGTTGAGCAAATCATCGCCATCATTTTCATATTCACTAACAGTAATTAGTCTGTGATCATTTCGTTCATCTCGAATTCTGCCATTAACAGCAGATGGGACTGTTCCATTTTCGAAACCATGGTTATGATTTCCAATGGGAGATGGGGATTGAAATCCATTTTGCATAATTTGTGAACTTTCCAGTTGAACTTTAACGTCTCGGGTTGCTTTTTTCTTTGTTTTTAAATTAAGTATCTTCATTCTTCTAAACATTCGTCCTAATTTCGATGTCACTTTCTTTTCACTTACTGGTGAGGATTGCTCAGCATGTGTGAAGTTTGCCATTGTCAAGGCCGCTAAGGCAGAAATAGCTTCTGTGTGTTTACCTAACGTATGAGTAGATCGTCTTCGCGATATTCTGGAATTGTAAATGTGTTGTTCCATTTCTTCATCGGGACTGATTTCCAACTCTATCAACTTTTTATTGGCTTTATCGTAAATGTAGTTTCCTATCCCATGTTCCACGAGGTCAGCACCGAGCTTCTCCTCTTCAAGAGGAATACGAAGTCCCAAAACTAACTGGATACTTTTTAAAAATATGAAAGACGTGACTAATGTCCATCCTACAATTGCTAATACTGCTATACACTGCACGCCTAACTGATGGAACCCACCATTCTGAAATACAATTCAAAACTTCTAAATGAATAAGTAGGCTGACCAGAGGAGGAGCACACAGAATTCAATATTTAATTACACTGATTCCAACGATTGGATTAGTCCGATTTCAATGATTTCGTACGACCAATTTCAACGATTGTATATAGATCCAGTGTCATTTTGTGAGTGTGCATCAGTAAGGATAGTAGCTACAACAGGCAGCGCTAAATTAAGGACGAGCTACAGTACGTAGCTGGTGGTCTGGGGAGGGTAGTAAACCCTACAACAACAAATGTGTGAGCCTTTGAATCATCTTTACTGTTAAATTTATTTACCGCGAGAGAACATAGGTCGTTAGCCCTACTGCGGATCATTTATGCGATTTTTAATCCTTTTTGTCGTTAAAGTGATTTACCGTGTTGTCCTTTGTTATCAGCTGAGACATCCTACTTAAGTCTAGAGAACGAACTTTGCCGTTCTGGGTGTATTTTGCTGTAAAAATGCTTAAATTCTATTTTCCATTGACAACTCTTGGCTTCACTCACAAGAGCAACTAAATATTCGTCACCCTGTAGTCAGTATACCCCGGAACGCAGTTTGCTCTAAGAACGGCTTAACCAAATTTATTCTATAACTACATGCAAATACAAGCAAATATCACCGAATACAGCCATTGAATACAGCCATTGAATAACCTATAGTTGTATTCAATGGCCATTGAATAACCTATAGTTATATTCAATGACTTGAAAACGTACTACTTTTGTCCAAAATGACGTCACTTACAGAACTACGTCAAACTGTAATGACGTCACAACTAGGCAACCACAATTTTTGTTAAAAAGAAAGAAAAAAGGGCGGAACCTATGATGAATTTTAACGATAGTAGTAATGATTTTTTTATGATAATCTAGATAGTACAGTGTATTTTGAGATTTGCATGTAGTTATAGAATAAAAACAGAACCCAATGACCATTGAATACCGCACGGGTTATTCAATGGTTCACTCGAGTTTATCCCTGCCGCTATCGCTCGTGGAATACTTGCGCAGGGATACACTCTCTTGAACCATTGAATAACCCGAGCGGTATTCAATGGTCATTGAGTTCTATCTATATATTTACACGTAGTATTCTGTAGTCCATCAAATTTCGGCGTGTGGCTTCTTGAGGAGCCAAATATGTATGAATCTATACTTAATAAAATTAAAGCCAATCAAATTTTGGCGAGTGAAGTTTTTTTTTTTTTTTTTTTGGGGGGGGGGGAATATACATCTCAGATGCGTCTCTTATTGGCGTATAATAGCAACATAGCCTATAATAACTGAACCAATGGCATAACGTCTGACAAACCTGGACGGCAAATCCCACCGCGGCACAAAATGTCTTCATATTGATTCGTCGAAACACAATGTGATCTACTTGTTTAGAAATATTCTATAAAAAGTAGGGGATATTTGATTTTTAAGTGTTATTAAAGTCACCTAATGAAATTGACGAAGAAACAAATGACAAAATGAAATGAAGTTCACATTCATCGATTTATTCCAAATGATCGTTAGACTAAGTAAGGCACAGACTGACCATTATAAGGGTAAAATGATACCCGGGGTCAAACAGCAAAGTTACCACAGCATCACAACCAAGTCAGTAACGGGTAAATCCTCCTCTGTTTGCCAAACAAGCATTGATCCGACGTGGCATACTCCTAATGAGACGTCTAAGGTCATTTTGGTCCAGATTGTCCCATTCCTGTTGCAACGAAGCAGCAAGTTCTTGGACATTGGCAGGACGTTGTTGACGTTGACGTAACCTCTGTCCAAGCATGTCCCAGACATGCTCGATGGGGGAGAGGTCGGGACTCAGTGCTGGCCAAGGTAATGTGGTGATGTTCTGTTGTTGGAGGTAACCTGTAACGATCCTGGCCCTGTGACATCTTGCGTTGTCATCCTGGAAGATGAAACGGCGGCCATGACGTCGTGCGAACGGCACAACATGGACTGCCAAGATGTTGTCCCGGTAGTACTGGCCTGTAACACGCCCTGCAACAACATGTAAAGCCGTTCTTCCAGCAACAGTGATGCCTCCCCACACCATAACAGAACCACCCCCAAATCGATCATGTCTGATGACGTTAACGTCTTGGAAGCGCTCGTTTCGACGACGCCACACCCTCCTACGTCTGTCCAAAAAATCAACAGTGAACCTTGACTCATCTGAAAACATCACATTGCTCCAGCGTCGATTATCCCAGTATTGACGATCCCTACACCAACGACGTCTTGCCTGAATGTGATGATCTCTCAAACAAGGGATCACGCGAGGACGTCGGGCGCGAAGGTGACCCCTATGCAGTCGATTCCGAATCGTCTGGCCACTCACTCTCACACCAGTGTCTGTTTGAAGACGAGCGCTGATCTGATTTGCTGTGATGACACGATTTCTCAAGGCCAAGGTACGGATAAATCGATCCTGGGCTTGAGTTGTCGCCCTTGGTCGACCTGAGCGTGGTCTGTCCTGTACAGATTGTGTATCACGGTATCTGGACCATAGCCTGTTTATGACAGACTGAGAAACATTCATCGTCCGCGCCACAACCGCCTGTGTTGTGCCGATCTGTAGCATGCCAAGGGCACGTAACCTTTCATTTTGGGTAAGCCGACGCATATCAAAATTTGTTTTCTGGTCACTAAAACAATTAAACTGATGTTTCCACCCTGGAATTCAATGCCACAATGACTGTAACATTCAAAGTCAGAGTCGTGCAAATCTTGGGTTGGACCCCCATGATGATCCCAAGCATCACCTGCATTCCATGCGGTAGCTATTGGTGCGTTTGGGCGTCACATGTAACTGGAAATGTTTCTTCTGTTAGGTTCTATAGTGACTTTTTTCGTAGTCATTTGCATATTTTAGTATTATGCCCCCAAAATCAAATATCCCCTACTTTTTTTGAATAGTATATAAAAACAGCCAAGCCATATAAATATCACCAAAGTCAAACAAAAGCTGTCTGCGATATCACTTCGGTGGATGCGGACGTTAAATAAAGCTATTTCAGACACACAGACAGAAGCCTCTACAGTCATCGTATATACCACGTCTGTGTTTTAGTTCTTCCAATAATTTATTTATAAGTACTCTTACGTTAAATGCACCATTATGGACAGCATGAAGATCTAGTTCAGATGCAAATGTGTCTCTTCTGGAAAACAGTCCACCTGCCAGCATACTCCAAATACCACCAAGTGCATGCGTTCCTACACAACCTATCAAAACATTAATTATGCAAAAATTAAACATAAATTACAGGCCCGGTGAAACACAGACACTTCCCGGGAGATTTCTTTAGAAAGTAAGCACGTGATTTTTATATGTCAAATAATAAGAGCATGCTGTAGTCTAGTCTCTATCATCCAGACAAACACTCTTCGAATATTAGTCTAGACGTGTTATCAGCATTTAAGAATAATAGATCATTGGCTAGATTACCCAGTCTTTTACATTATCACGAACAAAGTCTAAGTGAGGTAACTAGTCCTAAAACAAGATGTGGACGCCCATGAAATTAATTTAAGATTGCCATTTCAGAAAATCCATTTACATTGCCAGTTGAATATCCAACACTCTTAAAAACTTTTATTGTAAAATTCCTGTCTTCATGGACCATGGCCATGTATTTCTTAATAAATCCTAATTCGTCGTCATGATTCATGTTTGGGGGTTGGGATGGCCTAGTGGTCTAGAGTGCCGCGCTTCGACCTCTGGCTGGCCGGTCACCTCTGGCTTGCGGCTGTGGTTTCGAGCCCTGGTGTGAGCGTATGTGGCATGGAGATAGGGGCGCCTTCTCAACCTCGTGGGTTTCCTCCGGGCACTCCGGTTTCCTCCCACTGCTAAAGACCTCTACGCGCAAGCGAATTATTGAAATAAAATTAAACCATATGTTAGTCCCGAAATGACCTAGTTGTGTCGAGTGGACGTTAAACCCCATTTCTCTCTCTCTCTGATTCATGTTTGTTTATAATAATGCATGAATTATTGGCAAATAATACTGGATAATCAACCACATCAAAAACAAACTTCCGGTTACGCATGGGCAATGTAACTTTTCGTCAAATATTGACCATAGCCCCGGTTGGGTGACTGAAACTAGCTATAGTCTCAAAATGAACTAAGTATATTAACAAATGCTAAGATGTTTATAAAATTTAACTGAAGTGATAATTTTCGACGAGTTTAGTTTTAATGACCTAACGCCCCAACGATAATAGATTTCATCATGCTATTTCATCATCTACGCAACCTATCAATGAACTAGGTGCTTTATGTCAATTATTGCAGAGTACAATCCATCAATCAGTTGCATCAACACATCTGTTTTATTTATTCATATAAAAAAAACCCCAAAACCCCCAACAAAAACACGGGGGCTGACAACTCAATTTCTTATCTTACCAACGGGGTCATCAACTTTACATCTATCGAGTGTAGCCACACCGATTAAAGTTACCAAACTTCCTATCATTCCGATAATGAAACCTTCATAAGGATGTACCATGGCACACGTAGCTGAAACATATTTGAAATAAAATGAGGTTTAACGTCCTATACTATACTACGACTGGGTTATAAGGGAAAATTTGCTCGGACATCAGCGCTACGGACTACTTTGATATAGAATCCCAAATGCCAAGGGTTCTTTTATACGGGAACTTGGCTTTATGTCCTATCCGAACGACTATACGTTATCTCTTGTCATGCCCCCTGTCCTGCACTCCTGACAGGGGGAACCACGCCGAAAAATCACGATGAACGTTCTAGGTCAACATCGGCATCGAACATTGGACCTCCGGGCTAGCGAAATAAAAAGAAAATGTTTCATAAATATTTCATTGTCCACTTTTCCAAACGCACCCAAACCTTGCCATGTCTAAACGTCTTTTTCACTGAGTGGCTTCCTTTAATCAAAGAATAACACTTTGCCTAGTATAAAAAGATAAGGAAATAAGCCGACATTCACAACATTCTTTTACGATTATATAGCTCTGACACACGAAGACATACTAACGTTATAGCCGCTCGCGAATCCCTGTGCAATTAGTTTAGAAATCAGATTAAATTTTTAATTATCTTATTGACTGTTTTTTTTACCCAAATATCACATGGAGCTCTAGGGAGGAGAATCGCGTATTGCTTGAATCACAATTGGAGGGTCAAGAGCACAAGTGATCTAACTACCAACCATTTTAGTTGGTTGTTAGATCACTTGTGCTCTAGACTCTCCAATTGGTTGTTCACTATTCGTCGTAAGTTCCTTGTCTTACAAATCGAAGCAGGACGTCAAACCCCATCTTATTTCATTTCATTTAGTTACAAATCGGCTGACAACCTATAATTGACATGAACATTATTTTAAAAAGAAATCCATCAAGGTCTCTGAGTTTTGGAGTGCTTACACGAACTAAGACGAAGATAATATAGGTATAAATGTAGGCGTAGAAATCTACTCTTACCTGTTATACCAACAAGACCACCTAAAATACCATTAATTAAGTAGGCCACGTTAAAAGTTCTTTTCTTCACAATATAGCTAGAACACACAATTTAACAGACATTATTTATTTAAGAAACAAATAACAATTGATCGAAAACCAACATTTCTTTGTTCTTTGTACTTTGTGATTAGTTCGGATTTCTTCATTTATAACATAGGCCAGTTGTTTATCGTTAATTTAGTTTTCTATTTTTATGGTATCTTCTATTGAAGTCCAATGTTTTAATTATCTATACATAGATTGGAGAAAATCTCTTAATATGTACTTTGCAAACTATTGTTGTTCAAAATGTTTCCCGCAAGGTTGTTTTTGCTTGACGTCTGTTCTCATACAAATCTTAACAATATCTTGTCATTTAATACTTGACTGACCGTTTAGGCCACAGTCACCCGTAATAGTCTATAGAAAACTGTATATCAATTGTGCAACAGGCGCTTGGTTCGGACAGGAATTTGAGACTTTAAAAAGAAGATAATGACCCTTTAACATTTCATTAGTTTCCAACTCGCACCGACGTTGGTCAACTTGTCAAATCTAAACTGGCCTGACGGAAATAATAAAAGGTGTCATAGAATATATTTTATCATTGAAATGATAACTAACCTTGATAATAATCCGACAAAACCCCCAGCCATCGAGGCAGATATAGTTGATACAGCAGATCTACAATTATAAGCTTAGATTTTAACATAAAATAACATAAATTTACTAAAACTGATAATCATATCATTGGTTGACCTTTGAACTGGACTTTCTCGTTCCCCTTAAATTATTGGAACAAGTCGTGTGATCGGACATATTCAGTTGACATGCAACGATTTTGGACTATTAATTGCATATCTTATGGTTCAACTGCAAGTCGAAATCTAACATAATTTAAGAAAATGCTATAAAGTACGAAATTTCATTGAACTAGTTAACTCTCGTTGATGCCGTAATGATTTGCCCAGAAATAGGCCGGAAATTACTGGAATCTAATCGGAGCAATGCCGATTGTTTCCCTTTAATGCGACTAATTTAATTTCCGCCATATCAGTAGTCCTACTTACAAAATTAATGTGAAGATATAAAAAGATTAAAGATAAAATAAAAATCATATACAATCTTCCGGGACTTACTGACACATGATTATTAGAAGTTTTTATTTTGATGATCTTGAATGATATCAGGAAAATTGGACTATGTCGCCATTACTGGGCAATAAATCAAATACTTCTATTAATAATAAATTAGAAAAGTCATCAATTTCTCTAATGACACATATTTGCTAATCATATACGGTTATAAAGTTTATATGTCTGCAACACAAGTAAATTCCTGTCTAATAACTAATCACAAAGGTATCTTTGATAATGCTTCTCGTGCTAAAGATAAAATAGGGAGCAGCTAATTATTCCAATAAAAAATTCAAATTCTATTAACACATTGACCGATATATTCCATTTAATGGAGATTAATTATTTAAAATTTCCAGATTATATATCTGACTAATATCAATTTCTTATATATCTACTTTCTCTTGTAATCGTCCAATCCCTTTCGTATGGATACTGCGGAAGCCTTCTTCAACACAATGATAGATGGGACGACTTCGAGTTCGGGACTAGTTATACTCACTATTTTTAACTATTTTAATCAAGCTATTAAATCGTAACAAGCACCTATATAAATACACAGTTTCATGAACAATCAATGTGTTAGGAAAGGTTTTAACACATGTAAAACAAAATTCAGTGTGTTAAAATATATTACTGGTCTGGACTGAATTTTAATTTTTGACAGATTGTATGTTTGTACGTACAAATGTTTCAATTATTTGTTTTTAATAATTTCAACTATTTTATCTGTAGTGAGAATAATGCCTCTAGGAAAATGTTAGAGCTTTGTGTTAGAGTCAAATAGTCTGTGACTAGAAATGGACGTCAGTATTATAATACGTCCACACAACAACTTGTTCTCGAAAAAAATACAATAGCTCAAGGATACTCTATGTCTTCCAGAAATCTTATCTCCATCGTGTCAAGCTTGAAAAACCACCGTTAAACACTGGAGCCTCTATTTTGTTGACAAGAATGCCCTTTTTACGAGTTTGCCCCCTCATGAACCAAAGGTTCACTCCAAAATTTATCGCGTTCACATGTTTTTGAAAACGTCGGCATATCTCCGGGACGCCGAATGGCGCCAGACCATCATTAATTTCCCCATTGAACGGCTTCCAACGTTACCCTAAATTTTCGTTGGTTTGAACACTTTTTACTACATAGTGAGCAGCATGGTCATGTTTTGCCCTAAAGTTTGTATGAGATTGATCAATGAAATCGTGAGATATACATACTTGACGTAGCATACTAAAACATGTAATTAATGGCCATATAACCGTTACAAAACTCCTACAGGAGAATGTTGGTGTCCACCTATATTACACATGTGATATAACTGGTCATTATAATGACCTCAATTCTTCACACCTAAATTGAAACTAAATCTATTATAAACTACAGCCTCCATCGCGGTCACAAGCCAATTGTTGAGGGGTGGAAGGTCGCAGAAAGCTGAACATTAATAATATCCGTCCCCGCATGACCCCAATGCTTCACACAAAACTGAAAATAGCTGTCAGTAACTACAGCCGCTATCGCCTCCGAGGCGGGGGGGGGGGGCACGGAAAAGGCTGAGGAAAGCTGAACAACTATAACGTTGTGCTTCTTATGACCCCAATGCTTCACACCAAATTTCAAATAAATGTGATAGAACTGGTTAAACACGTTCCAAATATTATTTCATCACAGAGATCGTTGCTACGATAGATGAGTAATCAATGTTTCAACAATAGGAAGGGACGAACGCAAAAGGAAAACACGAGTTATCCGTCTATATAACTGGCTGAAGTGACGGGTGATAATAGATACATGGGCGAATTTCTGCTCACTAAAAATTCCTTCGGAGACCAATAGTTGTTATATGAGACTGTAAGAGTATATTTGACAATTCAAAAAAGTAATTGAATGTCATTAGATAAGAGAACACGAGAAAAATATACTTATAAAAACATGGTAATGCACGGACTTTTTCTATATTTCTTTCACGTTCTCTTATCTACTGACAGTCAATTTTGTTTATAAATTGTCAGATATCCTTTCACAGTCCCATGCAACAACTTTTGGTCTTCGAAGGAATTATTAGTAAGCAGAAATTCGCCCATGTATCTGTTATCATCCGTCACTTCAATCAGTTATAATAGAGGGATAACTCGTGTTTTGCTTTTGCGTTCGTCACTTCCTATTGTTGAAACATTGATTACTCATCTATCCTAGCAAAGATCTCTGTGATAAAATAATATTTGGAACGTGTTTAATCAGTTCTATCACATATGTGATAATGACTGGCACCAATATTGTCCTTTAAATGAAGCTTATAATGTCATAATTACTGAATGGTTACTTTTTTTCCGACTGACATAAGCCTTATAACGATTTAAGTATATGCGGTTCAGTTCCATTAAACTTAATATTATGATGAAGACGACAAATTAATAATCTTACTGAACAAAAGCAATCAAAACATAAATTGAACATGTTGGAACAAAACATATAAATAAATGAAGCACAAACTATGAAAACAAAAAAACCCTCGACGTTAACAAAGAATCAAAGATGTAATCGTTAAATAAAATATAAATTTTAGTATCCCCCCCCCCCCCCCGCCCGTGAGAATGTCCCTTTAAGAAATCCTAAATTATCATCTAAATTGTACATAATATGTTTTATATTGTATATTTGTGTTAATATTATGACTGCCAGCTGCAAATCTGTTAAAGATCCGTTTTAAGGAAGCGATTTTATATAAGCTGATAAAGCTTGTTATCGTATCCTATATTTATTTTATAAATTTTGTAAATTTAAATGAATAAAATATTGTTTAAATAAAAAAAAACTTTGGAACAAAAGGTTGAGGAAATTTTAATACAGGTAGGGTTCAACGTCTCATGATCCCTAGGTCACAGATGACCCCTAGGTCACAGAATGCTGAATAGCGACATGCAGGAACGTAACTAGCTCAGAGCAACGAGGGGGGGGGGGGGGGCGGAAAGTGTTCTCAGGGGTGCTGTAAAATTGACGGCAAAGAAAATCTAAGGGTTTTTATGGTTGAAAATGTTTTCACGGGGGGGGGGGGCAAACTTTTTGCACGGGGGCAAAGCCCCCACCCCCTGCGCGCCCCTAGTTACGGGCCTTGCGACATGGGTCGTCCTCACAACAAATTCGAAAAAGATATGTTAAAAACTGTAGCCTCTATCACGATCACAAGTGTTTCGGCAAAGGGTGTACCCTTGGAACGGAAGACCTCAATGCTTCAAACCAAATTTGAAAAAGGCTTCTTTAAAAACTTCTATCGGGATCACAAGGTTTTTAGATAAAGAGGGCAAAACTCTGGCGGGAAGGTCGCGGGACCCTGAATATTGACAGGTTTCGTCCTCCCATGCTCACATCGCTTGGCATAAAATTTGACTTACATCTTCAGACAAACTAATTTATCATTAGTCATTTTTAAAAGAACATAATACAGTTTTCTAAGTCCCGCAACATAAACAATTTGATAGTTTCTTGAAACTATAATACTTTAACTGAATTACCAATTAAACCGAACCTAAAACTGATGTATAGCACGAATCTCTTGTTATTCTGGTGTTATAGTCAGCTTTTCGTTTAACTGGATGCGTTAACTGGTTCATATGTAATCGAAGAATTGCAGATTTGATCCCTTTAATACGGCTAATTAAATTCTTTGTGCACCAGTTGCCTTTTTTCAGCTTTGTTCTACGCTAGAATGTACTCAAATTGATTATTTAACATTTAATTTTGAAAATAAAAATACTTTCAATCGTATTCAATCGTATTAAAAATAGGCCCCTTAAACGATTATAGGTGGCGTTAGCTTCTTTGTGCCACATCTCAGCAGAGGATGCTAAAATGTTGACAAAATCCCTCAAATGCCGCCCAAAGACTTTAAATTCAGCCATATTAGTATAGAGCGAGAGTACCAATTGTCTCCTATATTATATCAATGCATTTATATCTGGTATCATCAGAATGTAAGTCTGCCGGGTTTCTGGTGGTGGGTGTGGTATTCCAAACCTAAAAATTGTTACACTTTTCAGCTAGGTTGACCCCCTGGGCTCCTGGACTAGTAGCCCTACTTCCAAAAAAAAATATGAATATATTTAAAGATAAAATGATATACAATTTCTTGGGACTTACTGGAAGTTTTTTATTTCGATGATATGGAATGATAACAGTAAATTAGGGCTATATGTCACCATTTCTGGGCCATAAATTAAATATATCTCTTAATGATAAATTAGTATAGCCATCAATGACTCTAACATACATTAGTATCAATGGTCTGATTACTCAAGTTAAAACAAAAAAAGAGAGAGAAATGGGGTTTAACGTCCACTCGACACAAACTAAAATATGGTTCAGTTTTATTTCAATAATTCGCTGGCGCGTAGGGGTCTTTAGCCGTGGGAGGAAACCGCAGGACCAGGAGAAAACCCACGAGGTTGGAAGGCGACCCTACTCCTTGTCACGTACAAGCGGGGAATAGAAACTCAATGACTCGACTCAATGACCGATCTTTTGCTATAACGCGCACGCATTAACCATATGCCCCCACCCCCGCAAGTTAAAACAAAAACCAAAAACATACATCGTGGAAAGATGTGACCTATATTGTGTTCTTTTTTTCTTTACAAAAAAAAAAACAAGAAAAAAACCCCAAAACAAACAAACAAAAAAGGATGGGAATGTTAAGCCCATTTGCTTATTTTATAGGACCAGAGTTACCGTTACTAGATACTACATCGAACGATAGTCGAGCCTCTCTTTGAGCTTGTAACTAACGTAGTTTTGGGTATACACAGTTCGCCAAACGGGCATTTTATTAAATGTTTTTCAACATTCATACCAGTTTGACGCTTTTGGTTAAATTCATTCGATTTATATTCTACATAGGACCAGAGTTACCGTTACTGGATACTACACCAAACGACACTAGTTCCTCCCTTTGAGCCTGGAACTAGAGCAGTTTCAGGCATACACAGTTCGCCATACGAGCATTTTAGTAAATGGTTTTCAACATTCATACCAGTTTGACGCCTTTGGTTAAATTCAATCGTTTAAAGCGTTTAAAGGTGGATTTCCACCAGAATAGTTTACTTCTTGAGTAAAGAATGAAACTTTTGACGGGGGTTCTATGACATCATTAAAAAAATTTACACCTTCAAATGATTAAAAACAGCTCATTTTGTAGTCCATTTTTTAATGACCCTTTTGCTCTGCTAACATGATTTGGCCGACATTGGAATTTATATAATATTTTTTCCGTCAATAGCTTTGTTACCTTGCTGCTAACTTCCACTTCAATCCGGAAATACCAAATGTACTACCACAATTAAACCCGAGCCAGCCCCACCTACAGAAGAAACACAACATTTCGTATATTATTAGATATGAATCTTTGACCTTTATGACTTATTATTAAGATATACATATAATGGTATAGAATTACGTCTTAGTCTATTCTAGATAAACTGTCTAGTGATTTACATGATAGATATACTGATTATATTGATGATATCCATTAATTAATACGTCTTTCATTGAACTACTAAATTTTAAAAACTCCTTGTTTTAAGTCGTGCTCAATTTCTCTCATTCAAAACAATACAAATTTATAAAAATAACTAGCGGCTGCCAGGCAGGATACGCCCACATTTTCGAGAGATGGATAGAGAACAAGCTAAAAGAAAGTGACTGATTTTTCCTACAATCAAGGGCCATAATTCAGAAAATTACAATTCGATATGCGCAAATATCGAAAAGAACCGAGATCTTTGGGGTATAAACTAACATTTCAAGTTTCAACAAAATCGGATAAAAATTGTGACCTCTATAGGGTCCACAACCTTGATATACCATACTTTTTACGCTATTTGAGAACGAGGGGCGGTCATTTTGTCTGTCAGTTTTGGGCTGATTTTCACGAAATTCGAACTAAGCCGTCCTTAGGGTGTAACGGTGATATAATAATACGGTTTTTTAAATCGGATAAAAATTATGACCTCTATAGGGCCCACAAGCTAAAATAGCGATTTTTCGTACAATCAGGAGCCATAATTCAGGAAGTTATGGTCCGATATGCGCGAATATCGAAAGGAACCGAGATCTTTGGGTTATAAACTCACATTTCAAGTTTCAACAAAATCGGCTTAAAATTAGGGTCCACAACCTTGATATACAATCTTTTACGCTATTTGAGAACGAACAGCGGCCATTTTGTCTGTCAGTTTTGGGCTGATTTTCACGAAATTCGATCTCAGCCGTCCTTAGGGTGTAACGGTGATATAATAATATGTTTTTTTTTAAATCGGAAAAAAATTATGACCTCTATTGGGTCAACAAGCTAAAAACGCGATTTTTCATGCAATCAGGGGCCATAATTCAGGAAGTTACGGTCCGATATGCGCGAATATCGTAAGGAACCAAGATCATTTGGTTATAAACTTACATTTCAAGTTTCAACAACCACGTCATTTTTACGCTATTTGAGAACGAACGGCGGCCATTTTGTCTGTCAGTTTTGGACCTCTTTACGGTCCACAAGCTAAAAACGCAATTTTTCGTACAATCAGGGGCCATAATTCATGAAGTTAAGTTCCGATATGCGCGAATATCGAAAGGAACCGAGATCTTTGGGTTATAAGCATACATTTCAAGTTTAAACCAAATCGGATAAAATTGTGACCTCTACAGTGTTCACAAGCTAAAAACGTGATTTTTCGTACAATCAGGGGCCATAATCCATGAAGTTACAATACGATACATGCCAATATCAACAGGAACCGAGATCTTAGGGTGATAAATCTATATTTCAAGTTTCATTGAAATCGGATAAAAATTGTGACCTGTAGACTGTTCACAAACAATTGTGGACGGACGGACGGATGGACAGGGGCGACGACAATATAAGCCCACATGAAAATGTGGGCGTATAAAAACCCGATCAAATATCAAATTCCAAGGGTAAGGTCATTGAGCCACTGTGTGCCCAATTAGCATACTGATTGTCAAGGGTAAGGTCATTGAGCCACTGTACCCAATTAGCTTACAAATTGTCAAGGGTAAGGTCATTGAGCCACTGTGTACCCAATTAGCTTACTGATTGTCAAGGGTAAGGTCATTGGGCCACTGTGTACCCACTTAGCTTACTGATTGTCAAGGGTAAGGTCATTGAGCCACTGTCTACTCAATTAGCATACTGATTGTCAAGGGTAAGGTCATTGAGCCACTGTACCCAATTAGCTTACAAATTGTCAAGGGTAAGGTCATTGAGCCACTGTGTACCCAATTAGCTTACTGATTGTCACTCGTAAGGTCATTGAGCCACTATGTACCCAATTAGCTTACTGATTGTCAAGTGCGGAAGAAGTAAAGGAGCAAAACCATACAATCATGTGCACGCAATATGTTAAAATGTTACATTTCTGAGAACCGAAGCTAAGACCCTGACATTATACCATCATGACACAAAAGACAGTTAAAATACACAACTTAGAATTAGGTTTTTCGGCCCATTATAGAGCATTTAAACATATGGCTTGGACAAAATTTTTGACAGTGGTTTAGAAGTAAAACTCTTTAGCTTCAATGCCTTATCTTTAAAAAATAAAATATTTTCTGAAAACAAATCTGTTTCACCAGTTTGTCATTGATAGGAGATAACACCTAACTGAGTGGTATTAGGTACGGACAATATACAGGTAATTTTAACATTAGCAGGGTAAGAAACAGATTATTACCTAATGATGAAAAATATAGATATGATCATATTTACTCTCTCGATTCTGATTGGATAGAACATTACCCACGTGTTAGATCATATTGAATTTTCAGTTTAAATGTCGAGCATTAAGATTTTATTGGAATTAATCATATTGATGATTAATTGATTGTGGGATGAGATTGTATGACTTTTTCCTCAGTTTTATTCTTGTTTGCAGACTTGTTATTTTCCACATACCGATTCTTCTGTCACCACCAATCGACGAGTTTGATTCTTTCTGATGACAACTTGATGAAAAGATAACATTTAAATGATTTAATGTAAATACCTACCATAACATAAACATTCCTAATAAGGCATTGGTAGGCGAACCCATCTGTGGCATTCGTTTCGTCTTAGATGTATATCTATTATGACGTGGCTTTAACACAATGGTCGCCACGAATCCCGAAACTCCACCTACCACATGTACTGGCCCCGCCCCTGCTATATCAACCACACCCATATTCTGGAGCCATCCATTGGAACCCCATACCCAGTGTGCTGGTAAACAGTAGACGAATGTATTTAGCATTGAAAATATGATGTAAGATTCCAATTTGGTTCTTTCCGCCATCGCACCTAAAACAAATATATTCCTGTTCAAAATAAATGTAAGAAAACCGATAATAAGTATCTGCTGCTGAAATATAGTATAATGTGTTTGGGACTATAACTAATGTCGTAGACATTTTTCATTGACCTTTCGTTTCTGGTAATTCATAACGCTCGTTTGCTATTTAATTTAGGTAGAGAATTTTGGCAAATGGAATTTGTCCCACCCGTACCGCGTATCCGTATGTTGCGTCAATTTAGTTTTCGAGTTTGGGCAGATTTTCGCGTTATGTACGTATGATTTCCGATTTTCACCATTGGGGCGCTCTTTTTCAATGATAAAATTCCAGTTTTTATCATGTTTAATATCACATCAAATATATACCTCCGTGTTCTAGGATACACATAGATTCATAAAAACTCTATGACACAACATTTCAGCATCTAAAAGTCGGAAACCAGCGGCAGTCAGGCAGGATACGCCCACATTTTGCAAGAGATGGATAGAGAACAAGCTAAAAACAAACAGGATTTTTTGTACAATCAGGGGCAATAATCCAGAAAGTTATGGTCTAAAATGAGCAAGATCTTTGGGTTATAAACGTGTATTTCAACTTTCATCAAAATCGGATAATAATTGTGACTTCTAGAGGGACCACAAACTAAAAACGCGATTTTTCATACAATCAGGGGCCATTATTCAGGAAGTTACAATCCGATACACGTGAATATCGAAAGGAACCAAGCTCTTTAGGTTATAAACATGCATTTCAAGTTTCATCAAAATCGGATCAAAATTGTGACCCCTAGAGGGTCCACGACCTTGATATACCAGATGTTATACACTATTTGCGTACGCGGGGCGGCCATTTTGTCTGGCAATTTTGGCCCGATTTTCACAAAATTTAAACTCAATAAACATTACGGTGTAACGGTGATATATAAAACGTTTTTTTTAAATCGGATAATAATTATGACCTCTAGAGGGACCACGAGCTAAAAACATAATTTTTCATACAATCAGGGGTCATAATTCAGGAAGTTACGATCCGATATGCCCGAATATCGACAGGATCCAAAATCTTTGGGTTATAAATATGCATTTCAAGTTTCATCAAAATCAGATCAAAATTGTGACCTCGCGAGGGTCCACAAATTTGATATACCAGGGTCCGTATTCAAATGATATCTTAAGTCTAAGATAGTCACTTAACTACTAGATTTCACTAGTTAAGGGTAAGTGGTATTCAAAGGCAGTGTTAAGTATCGAATTTTCCCTTAAACTTAAACTGCTTTAACTTATAAGTGTTTAATCTTTTAGTACTTTTCAAAAGCCAGTTTTTAAAGTGAGAAAATTCCACTATGGGAGGTACCTTAAAGTTAAATGAGATAATAATGACTTCTTTTGACCGGAGTATACAATGTAGTAACAGGGCCGTAATGGCGATCTTAAAAATTAGGGAATTTGGATTGAAACAAAAACAATGTCACTGAGCGTAACTGGCATCAAACGTTTTTTTTTTCCATCATCAGCTTTGATTTTGTAGAGCCATAATAGTGTATATGGTTACTACCACCGAAATGGTTACTATCATGTTCGTATTGCTTAATCAGTCATGTTTGCCACGACTGTCATATAATAAAGTTTGATTTATTTGTAAATTTGACATTGCGATGACATTCCATTGTAGATTTCAGAAAATATTAATACTACCGCGAGAAGCAAGGCGTGGTTTATTTTTTACAATTCATTCCCATATACATATTTGAAGTCTATGAAGCTGACTGCTGACCGAAGCGTGCCATCAATGATTTACAATGTACCGTCATGGCCAGGCCTTTGGGATTCTAAAGTTTAGAAACAGGAACTGACATAATTTCTACGAATTTCTCAAATGATAGATTGATAATCAGTACTGAATGATTTGTTCAGTTTAACTTTAAAGCCAATAGCCCTGCGTATTGCTGTTTCTTTTAAGTGCACGTGAAAAGTGTAAATGGGCCCTCGGATTTTTGTCTGATCAGAGGGTGTAGGTGCTGTCCTAACCTG